CGTCTCGTAAAAAAATGTATTGTAAATAAACACGAAATTGTATTTAATACCAAAGTCTTAATGTTTTTCTACTCTCTTTCGCCTATTATTGCCGATAACTTCCTTAAATTCAGTATCAAATGCTCCTCTGCAACACCACAGACGCCGCACCAACACGCCGCTGTGCCACAACAAACTAGAAATGATATACAACTAGAAGTCTATAATTCTAGTTGTTTGTGCCCAACAGCGTGGCTTCGGTGCTTCCGCCCCCCCCCCCCCTGCGGCGTACTTGGTGTGTTGCAGAATGAAGCATTGAACGGCTTTACAGGACGGTTATCGGCAATAATAGGCGAAAGAGAGTAGAAAAACATTAAGACTTTGGTATTAAATAGCATTTCGTGTTTATTTACAATACATTTTATTTACGAGACCGTTCAAGTCGCTGTGGTGCCACCGTTTAACTCGCTCGCTAACACGGCAGGCGCTATTTGTATGTCGGCGAATGTGAATGTGTGTTGGTGTGTGTGTGTCGTGTGTGTGTCGTGATGTGTGTGTGCGTGTGGTCCGTGTGCGTGTGCGGTGCGTCGTGCGTGCCGGTGTTAACTGTCGGGCGGTACGTGCGCTCGTATGTGTGCGCGCGTGCGCGTCGCCGTGAGCGTGTGCGTGTGCCGTGTGCGCTGTCGTGTGTGTGTGTGTGTGTGATGTGTGGTGTGTGAGTGTGGTGTGTGTGCTGTGTCGTTGTGTGTGTGGTGTCGTGTGCGGGTATGTGCTGTGCGTGTGGTATGTAGGGGTGTGAGTTGCTCACGCGAATTTGCCCCATAACCGAATCCATGACTGCAATATGCCAAATCTGGCAGCAAAATCAGTGATTCGCTGAACCGCGACATATTATGTTTTATTACTTACGTTTCTCTTGGTATGTTTGTCGAACCCGCGCAGCGGGCGTTGATAAGTGCCCCTGCATGCGAACGAAGAAAATGTGTGTGATTAAGCATGGCGAGATAACAATTCGAGATTTTCCTGGTAAGACACTGCACCGGGGGTAACAGTGACCGTCAACAACAACATCGGAAATCCGCGTTTCAGTAAGGATTATCACCAGGAGCTAAGGATTAATATAGGATCCTATTTTATCTTACTCCTAGATATCACTCTTTACAATTGCTTCATTGTTTATGCGGAACCCCGAACGAATAGTGAAACTTTTAATGCCTTCGTCACGCCCGGAGATAGCAGTAGAAGCATTTCCATTTTCTGGTCTCAACGATACTGCAGTTTTACTTTACCGAGGAAAATGCGACACGCCATATATATCAATGCTGTGTGTGTGGTGGTGCGTGTGTGCGTGCGTGTGACTGCCAACACGGTCCGATATAAGACGTCCATGACCTGAGTAAATTCACAGTCAATTCTGTTTGCCTGCACGCGCTCTGACTACAGGTCTCTCTACAGTCTAGGACTACAACCCCTCCGCCCTCAGCCCTGCGCTCTGCCAGATCATATTCCTGCACACCTTCTGCATTCTCTTCCTCAGTTGATCATACTATAGTTAGAGCCTATGTGGGCAGAATGAAAAGAACTAATATACTATCCACATATAAGTCTGAAGGGTCACGTAATATCGTTTCGTAATATTCCCTCGTTACGCTTGCGACGAGTGACCTCATCAGAGGCTTTCCCAAACTATATTTAAGAGCGTAGGCATTGTTTCCAGATAAGACCAACCAGCCCGTGCCGAGAGTTCGAACCCGCCCGAATCAAAACCCGATCGTGATCATCCGCCCTAACGAATCTTTCATCGGGTATTGTGATAGCATATAGATAGATTTTGAATAAGATCATGCCGGGGTGTATAGCAGATAATAAACTTCATAAAATCGTCGTGAGATGTATGTTGTTGTGCATGTGTGTGTGTGTGTGTGTGGCTGTGTGGTGTCGTGTGTGCCGTGGTGCGTGCGTGCGTGCGTGCGTGCGTAGCTGTGCGTGCGTGAGCTCACCTCTCGCATGCGGCAGCAGGAGGCGGGTACGCCGCATCGTTCAACGGCCGGGTTAGAGTCGCTGCAGTTGAACGTGGGGTTGAGGTTCCAGTCCCGGTAGCCGCCCGGTCCGACGCCGCAGCACTGCAACTGTTAAGACCACCCCACCGTTACTCTGTGCATGCACACCTCTACGCCAATTAACCGAAGCCTCGGCCGAATCATCGGCAGATACAATAATGAGCCGGGATTTTTAATTAAATTAAATTTAATTCAATTCGCGTTATTTACACTCATGAGAATTACATTTTGGAGGTGTCATGTTGGTTGAGCAATGGAGGGTAAAGGAAAGATGTACCGAAACCTAGATCAGCGAAAGGAAGTGGTGTAAATTCCCTCCCCCCAACGGGCCCGCGTATTTTATCATCCTCATCGTCGTCGTCGTCGTCGTTGTCGTCATTATCAGCGATATGTGTGTGTGTGTGTGTGTGTGCATGCAGCAGTGAGAGAAATTGCAGATTAATCAAATGAGACGGATTTTCGGGATTTCCGGACAAACGCAATTAAAGGAAAAGATGAGCGGACGTGTTCTGTTCCAACTTCCAAGGCTTCTTGTGAGTTTTCATTAGACCACTCTGGTTTCGTCTGGAATGGACTGACAATACTATATTTGTATTGTGTGTGTGGGGGGGGGGTTGAGTGCAAATAAGCCAGTTCGTAGTTAGCCAAGGAGTTGTGTGACGTCACAGGTCACCAGGTCATTTGTGACAAAAATCTATGAAATCTCGTGCGGCGTGCGCTCTCGGTTCAGTACGTATATGTACATGTATTACATTATAGTTTGTATGTTGTAAATATATTTGTATGTGGCTAGTACTAATAAAGCTAGTTCAACAACGAATCTACGACGTTGTCTCATTTGGAACCTGCAATCATCTGCCGGACAAAACATCTCTACTATTTGCTAATGAAACTACGCTGCTACATTCTACGAGAACCTGAATTTATCACCCAGATGGAAGTACAATACCTATACTGGAGATATCTGGCTTTTTACTTGATTATATTAACAGATATCGAGCAAAACTCATATATTGGGTTAGAAGGAGGGTACGGGGTGGAGGATGCGGATAATTACGCTGGTCAGGTGCTCCAGCGCTCCTTGAGTTTATCTTCTCGATATTATTGTAATAACATAAAACTCCGTGGCTCGTATATGTATGAGATCGAGAGTGACGACACATTAGTCAGTCATATTTATACACAGTTACTATGTAGAGAATGGGAGACGAGACGCGGGACCTAGGCATGGTTACCTGGGCTGTATATAGTTGTATTATGTATATATTTGTGTGCTCGACTGACTAATAATAATAATAATACTAATAATAATAACTATAACGTCCTAGTTCAACAACGAATCTGCGCCGCTGCATCTGATATGGAGACTACATATGTACAATCTCGTTCAACTCTCATCTCTACGCTGTCGGCCCTATACAATATCCTGCTAGAGATCATCAACACTTCGCACTACAACACTTCAGACATGACCTGCGGAAGGGGCTACTTACATACGTGCGCTGTATTATCATGCGTATATAATATACGATATACGACATACGACATACGATATACGATATACGATATAATATATGCGTATAATAATATACGTACATACGCCATCGCGGTGTACGTGGCAGTATACCCTGCGCTGGCGCGCCTGTCCCGCGTGCGTACCTTTTTCTGGAGAGCGTCGATGAGATACGACAGGCTCGAGTCGTGCTGGTAGAGCGCGATGGCGCGGCGTAGCAGGGCGTCCGGCGCTAGACGCGTACTTCCAGGCTCGGAGAGCAGCAGAGTGAACGTCGCCCCCGTCGTCGCCACGACACCGATAAACAGCACGATCATCATGCACGTGTACTGTGGGAAGGAACAACATTGATGATCACTCCCGTGTGGGTGGGAACAACACGACGATCACGCACGTGTACTGTAGGAAGGAACAACATTGATGATCACTCACATGTGGGTGGGAACAACACGGACGATCAACAGCACGGTAAGCTAGTAGGAAAGAAACAACATTGATGATACTCAACGGTGGGTGGGAACAACGCTATCATCAGTGCACAGTGTAAACATGAGAGAGATAGAGGGGCCCAGCAATCAACGCAACGTGTACTGTGGGAAGGAAGCAACATTGATGATTTACTCCACGTGTGTGTAGGAAGCAAACATTGATGATCACTGCACGCGTGTGTGGAAAACAAGCACGAAATCATCCGTACGTGTACTGTGGGAAGGAATACACTGATCACACCACGCGTGGGATGGGAAAGCAACATATGCACTATCACATTAAACGCACGGCGTATTGGGAAAGAAACACGGACAGGCATAATAACGTAATAATAATCAATAATAATAATAAATAATTAATTAATAATAAGCGAGGATGTGGAATACAATGACGAGAATTGTACCAGTGGTGGTTGGAGTCCTTGGCTCTCTAAACGAAAGAATGGTTTTGAGAAGAACGGCTTATAACGACTCCCCTGGCCAATCAACACTGCCACAGAAGTGGCAGAAAATGACTACTGGGAACAGCACACCAGCTCCTGGCGAAAATTCTGGATTGAATCTCTATGTCCCAGGTTGGGACAGCGGTCAACCCAGAAGCCATCCGGCTAAGTGCCGTGATTGGCACTTTGGAAATAATAATAAATAAGTAATAATAAATACGTATTAATGCTGGTAGCGGAGCGAGCGGATGGATGACTGACTGGATGGATGGCTGACTGGAGGATAGATTGAATGCGATGAAATGGATGGATAAATGGATGGATGCACCGTATGGATGGATGGATGGATAGATGCATGGCATGCATGCATGGATGTGATGAATGGAGGATGGATCGGATGGGATGGATGGAATGGATGCGATGATGTGATGGATGGATGGATGGATGGATGGATGGTGGATAGTGTGGTGTAGAAGGTATGGATGATGGATGGATTGGATGGATGGAATGGCTGGCTGCTGGATGGCTGGCTGGCTGATGGATTGGAATGGATGGCTAGAATGGATGCGATGGATGGATGAATGGATGGATGGATGGGAAGGATGAAGGAAGGACAGATGGATAGGGATGGATGGACACAACGCAGATCGTATGTTGAGAATTCGGAGACCTAGCAAGCTAGCAGAACCCCTCCGTGAAGATTAAGATATATAGATAAAAAAGTACTATACATATATAAGTATTTCCGTAAAAACAACAGGCAGGCCGTCATACCCGGATCATATAAGAATCATATAATCGGATGCGGTAAATACGTAGGATCGCAAAACAGCTACAAAACACGCTAGCACAACGCCCTAAGCGGTCACCGACAATCGTATAAGACGCGACAATACATTTTCAAAAAACAAACACATTCACTTTGTGTAGCCTTGGCCCATCCAGCAGTGACGGATTGTACAGTCTTAAAAATGCATAAGAAAACGGAATGTCGATGGGGAAACGTTCGCAAAACAGGGTGACAGGTAACTGGGACGCATGACAGCGGCATATAACAGCGGCCATATGACAGCACCGCAATATAACAGCGGCATATCAACAGCGGCATATTACAGCGCATATAACAGCGGCAGCATATAACAGGCGGCATATAACGGCGGCATATGACAGCGGCATGTAACAGCGGCATATAACAGCGGCATATGACAGCGGCATATAACAGCGGCATATAACAGCGGCATGTACAGCGTGCATGTAAGAGCGCATATACAGCGGCATGTAACATGCAGCAGCATATAACAGCGGCATAGTGACATATGACGGCGGCATATACAGCGGCATGTAACGGCGGCATATACAGCGGCATGTAACATGCAGCAGCATATAACAGCGGCATTTGACAGCGGCATATACAGCGGCATATAACAGCGGCATGTAACAGCGGCGGCATGTAACGCTGGACACCGCGGCGGCACCTGTAACGCTGGACACTGCGGCGGCACCTAATTTGGACTGCGCCTTATGCTAACACGCTCTATTCACGCGAGTGTCGCTCGTAACCTTGGAGTAATCATATTCTGACTCAGATCATTGTCAATCATATCCTCAGTGCCAGAATCTTACACCGCAAGCTCCGAACGTAAAGGCGCGAGGAAAAGCTTTCTGCCTCCCAGACCGTGCCAAGGTTTGCTGGTTAGTTAGCACAAACTAGCATCTCCCGCACCGTCCGCGGAACGTCATGAAATGCTCCGTTCCGTCCGTCAAATAAACGCAATAGCCGGAAAGAATACCAACGAACAATGGTAGAAAATAGGCTACGCGTTAATGTGGTGACGGTCACGCACAGGCAGGAGACGCGGGGGCGTTTCGGCGGCTTGGCAACTTAACAAAACGAAGTTTCTATCCAGAAATAAATGGCGCTCACCTGCTGCGGCTTGCCTGCTAACTTCGAAGCAAAGATATTACGCTGTCATAAATGGCATGTAGGATATAATCGGGTGCTGTGTTTTTATAGGTTGCTGAAACTCTAGAATCATCCGATCTTAAACAGAGTGGCAGAAAATAATTGGACCTCGCCGGGCCCGGGACCGGGACCGGGGCCGGGGCATATATATAGACGGCGCATGTGTGGCGTATCTCTTGACAAAGGAAACTACTTACTAGACTTCTTGGCCTAATTTCGCTAGAGCTTGTTCAGTTCTAGAGGACATGCGGTCCTGAGGGACTAGAGCGGATATGTGGTTTAAGAGGTACTAGATGAATACGGGGTTCTATAGGGACGAAATGATACGGATCTATAAGGGACTATGATTATATGGAAGTCTATAGAACTAGTTGATGGCGGGGCTCTATAGGACTAAACATAGTACGGGGTCTATAGGGCCTAAGATGAAATACGGGTCTATAAGAACAAAATGATACGGGGATCTAATAGGGATTAAGATAATACGGGGTCTATAAAACTATGTGAGTGGGAGGTTCGCACGAATAGTTTGGCAGCCGTGCTTTTGTCTGCCGGCCCGAAATAGCGTTACGCGAAGCCTAACCTTTCCGAGAAAGAAGAAAATATTATGAATAATAATTAGACGAAATACATATTTGTATCCGTATAACGTAAAGATTCGGCAGGTGGTCCCTGTAATTTCTCAGCGTGGATTCTTCCAGCCGGGGGGGGAGTTTCCTTTAGGCTTAGCACGGTTGCTGCTAAGCGAGGAGTGGGAGGAGGAAAAAATGGAGGGGGGTTGGGTGAGGGAGGGAGGGAGGACGGGAAGGGAGGGAGAGAAAGAAGGGAGGAAGGGAGGGAGAGGAAGAGGGAAGAGGGAGGGAGGGTGGGAGGGATGGAGGGAGGGAGGGAGGGAAGGGAGGGAGGAGAGGGAGGGAGGGAGAGGAAGGGAGGGAGGAGGAGGGAGGGAGGGAGGAGAGGAGTAGGGAGGAAGGGAGGGAAATGAGGGCGGAGGGAGGAAAAGTTATTAGGAAGGAAAGAAGGAGATAGGAGATAGTGGGGGAGGATAGAAGGGAAGTGAGTGAGGTCAGGGAAGCTAGAGGGGAATATGATTCCAGCTGTAATTGACTACGGCTCTCACACGTTCTCGAGCAGAGCACGTGTTCTCATGCGCAAGAAGCCTCCGTGCAGGCCGGAGGAAGGGCGACGACCAAAGGCGACGCGAGCCAGACGAATGAGCATCAGTGTCGCGCTGGGATCGAGTAGTCGTAGGTTTTGTCGTCGCTCGCGCCCGCCGGCCGCCCGCCCGCGCCGCCTCGCCCCTTTCTCTACGAACGCGTACAAACGATGGCGGCCATAAAGCCACCAACACACCTGGCACAGACGGATAGATAGATATGTATATCCTAAAATTCGAGCGTGGCCCCAGCCAATATATAAAATAAATATAATAAAATAAATAATATATATATATATAATATACGGAGTGAAGAGAGATAGGAAAAGGAAAGAAGGAGAGATAAAGAGAGAGAGAGAGAGAGAGAGAGAGAGAGAAAGAGAGAGAGAGGAAAGAGAGAGAGAGACGAGAGAGAGAGAGAGAAAGAGAGAGAAGAGAGAGAAAGAGAATAGAGAGAGAGAGAGAGAGAGAAGAGAGAGAGAGAGAGAGAGAGAGAGCAGAGAGAGAGAGAGAGAGAGAAAGAGAGAGAGAGAGAGAGAGAGAGAGAGAGAAGAGAGCGAGAGGCGAGAGAAGAGAGAGGGAGAGTAGAGGGAGAGATAAATCCACCATCCCCTTTAGATAATGCTAATATATATTTTGTGGAAAGTTTCTCATGTTCGTCTGTTTCTCGATTCAAAATCAATATGGGTCACTCTATGATATATGTCCAAGATGGCCATTAGATGTAATATTGAATGGCCTGAATGTCATGGGCACATTGGATTTGACACTCGCGATTGTCATCTGACATCGCAAAAGAAAAAAAATATTAAATCAAGAGCGGCCGCAGAGGGCGTCTGGGGTCATCTGAGGTCTGTTTGCTACGGTTATAAACGTAACATTTAAAGTCGTGGCGATAGTGGACACCTTTGTTAAGCCGCAGATGAATGGCAGATACGCAGTTGCGTACACATCATTTCAACAACCTTGCTGCATTCTGCATACCTCCCTGTGCTGTACGGCATTCGCGTATCGCAGGCTTTAATTGGTTTCTATAGTTATGATGTGGGCCATGAATATGACAACGATGTCCGTTATTGAAGGCAGTTGAAGAAATCCATGTGTTAACCGCTCCTCGCCTTGAGGGTCAAAAGTTTATCAAAACACTTACTCTTCGGCAACCTCAGCTGGACAGCACATTTCATGTCCGTTTCAATAAAGTGATAAAAAAATGGTAAAAAAGAAATTCAGGCGATCGAAACAAAATTTTTTTTTTTACTCTGTCCATTTGCCGCAGGTT